GATTTTATTTTATACTGATCCATTCATCATCCAATTAAATATCCCACAAACATATGGGATAATAAGTTTCACCCTTCTCTTCTCTACTATTTTGTCTCATCTCAAGTTGAAGATTGTACTTCACATACTCTAGCATTTAATCTTTGTTGTTCCAATCTATTTCTTCTCTTGCATTTGGTCAAATGTGCTCCAATTCCTTTCAAGCTCCGTCGCACTACATGTGAGGCTCAAAATTTTCATGGCTACCTTTTTGTAACTCTTTACCTTCTCCATAGTTTCCCCACCAAAGAGCTATCAAAACAAACAAGTACTAAATTATTATGTAATTATAAATTTATAAACCAAATAAGAATGGTAATGAGAGTAATTTAGTTATCAGGTTGTTTGTTATTTCTAGTATCTATTGCCATGTCCATTCCAAAAAACCCCTTATATTCCTTGAACTTTTCAAGTTGTTGATCAATTGTAACTCTTGTTCTTGTATCCAAAACTATTCATTGAAATGTTTCAGTAAAACAATGGCACCTCACTATCTGGATTGAAATCTTTGTCATAGTGATTTCTAACACAATAAAAACTAAGTCAATGAAAACAAAGAATAGGACAAATTTAGATTTAAGGATTGAGATAATAGGGTACTGCATGGAGAAGCCCATGTAGTTGTAAGTTCCACCTAGTTTTGTATTGCACAGGGGATGAATTGTATTGTATTGTACATATTGTATCGTGAATCTGTTAGGAATCTGGGTTAGAAGCCTAATACGCTCACTCTCTAACACACTCCAAGAGTCACAACACAAGAATGAGTAAAGAAACATACGGTATTGACAGCAAATGAACCAAGAATACAATCCAGAATCCGGGAGCTTAACCTCCCTCACCAGGTTCAAAACCGGTCTATACAATGCAAGTAGTAACTAACTAACTGAAACTACAAAAGAGGTCCTTTATATAGACCCTTTCCCGCCACCTTAACTGCTCAACAACTAAGTACTCTTCCTGATTTTTCTACTCTCTTTCTCCTTTCATAAACCCTCCACGTCCTAACAGAATCTTACGATACTTAGTGCAATGCTCTAAAGTATTTGGAAAATGTTATTTCATTTGTAGATTTATTGCACATTTTTTCTTCAATTCCAATATGTATGTATGTGTATAAAGTGTTTGTACTAGTTTGATGTCTTTGATTGCAACATGACATGCCGTAGGATGATTATCTTACCATTGCTTGATGTTTGTTGGGAAGCTTGTGATTGGAAAACACTCCTGTGATTATGTTTTCTTTGACCCTTGTATTATAAAGTTGTTTAATCCTTAGAAGTTAGCTTATTGTCATTTTACGAATTGATTTGTTTAGTCGAGGTGATACTCAAGATTTCGCGGATCTAAACAAACTAGCTAAACGCTTCCTTAGAGGAACATATAATGCTTCGGATGGTGAAGTAAAAGAGGCACCTTCACGGGCTTATGTTCAAGAAGTCGTGGAGGAGCTACGTAAAGGGGAGCAAGGAGAATGTCCAATATGCCTTGAAGCATTTGAAGATGCAGTGTTGACCCCTTGCGCTCACCGCTTATGCAGGGAATGCCTCTTGGCAAGTTTGCGAAATGCTACTTCTGGCCCATGTCCTGTTTGTAGGTATTGTCAAGCTGTTCTATTAGAATTTTGGATATCTTCTTAACTTTTGAATGAAGGAAGTTCAATATTGTCTTTATTGCAGTATTTTTCTGATGAATGTTGGTCATGGTACATATTTTATGATTTACAGGAAAGCAGTCAACAGGCAGGATCTAATCACTGCCCCTACTGAGAATCGGTTTCAGGTGGATATTGAGAAGAACTGGGTAGAGTCATGCAAGGTAACTGCTCTTTTGAATGAACTTGAAAATCTTCGCTCATCAGGCACCAAAAGCATTGTTTTCAGCCAGTGGACTGCTTTTCTGGACCTCTTGCAGATCCCCTTCGTTCGGTAAGATTTTTATTGCTGGTTGAATATTATCATATTCTTGGGAATATGCTTTCCTGTGGGACAGAAACTCAGTTAATTCTATGTTGTGTTGTAATATTATCGTCCTTTCTAAGTTGATGTCAGCTTTGACGATTGCTACGAGCACAGTTACCTTTCTATTCGTTTAATAAATTTTTGCGATGAAAATACCAAGGAGGTTTCTTTCTTTGTGAATTCTCTCATCTACAGGAATAACATTTCATTTGTTCGTCTTGATGGAACTCTGAATCTGCAGCAGCGGGAGAAAGTAATCAAGCAATTTTCAGAGGACAGCACGACTCTGGTCCTGAGCTTCTTCCTCTCAATTTTTTTTACCTTGACATTGTAGAGAGACTGGGTCAATGCATTGACTATTTATGACCATCAGTACCTATTTCTTGCATGCATCAGGTGTTGTTAATGTCACTAAAAGCTGGTGGAGTGGGTATAAATCTAACTGCAGCTTCTAATGCTTTTGTCATGGTATGCACAAACTTTTTCTTAGCCAAATCACTCGTGGATAGTGTAATAAATTTGGATTTGGACCGCATGATGTGAGCTTTTGATTAAATTGGCTGTGAACATCCTTGACAAAATTATTATTACCAGCATTTAATGCACATGTAAAAATTAAAATAGTGACCAAAACTGGTGATATTTAGTGAGTGTATATTATATGTTGTCCGTATATTATTAAAATTAAAATAACCACTATCCATTACCCTTACAACTTACCTAACATGTATTTTTGTTGCTTTACACAGAATTTTAAAATTTTAGGAGCACAACACATGACATTTTCTTTAGTTATCATTTAGGATAAATTACTCACAGCAAACTATTTGCATCACATTATCATTTAAATATTTAAGATTTAAAAATCATGTTTAGCGTGACATTAAGTTTAAATTATTGTAGCCATTACCTTTACTAGTTTCTGTACAAGTGTATGACATTTTTTTGCATTCTACTTTAGTTAATTATTTTTGTATGTTGAAGACGGAAATTTAATCTATTTTCGTATGAGCAAATAATTTCATCTATATAGAATTCTGAAAGTTTTATCCGAATGTTTTATGGATAACCAATCCAGTGGATAAATAGTGACATTATTATTGTTGCCATCTGGAAAGTATTTTTGTTTTCCAGTTTTATGAATTATAGATAATTTCTTCGCTTTGGACAGGACCCATGGTGGAATCCAGCTGTTGAGGAACAAGCTGTTATGCGTATTCATCGCATTGGACAAACAAAGAAGGTGGCCATTAAACGGTTTATTGTGAAGGTATGCTTAATATCCCGATTTGGAAAAGCTTGCTTATTTCATGGCTGTATTATTATATACTTTTACCAGGCCCGTTAATTTTGTGAATTTTTACCATGGTGTCAAGTATTAACTTATTTTTGACTTGAATGTGGCATTTGTTTTGCATTTAACATTGCAGGGGACCGTCGAGGAGAGAATGGAAGCAGTACAAGCACGTAAACAACGAATGATTTCTGGTGCCTTGACTGATCAAGAGGTTCGAAGTGCGCGCATTGAGGAGTTAAAGATGCTTTTTACTTAGACTAACGAGCAGTGCAAATATCTTTGCTTGCTTAGGTGCATCGGCACTTTCACAATATTTTATCCCTCTGGTCTTCTTTTGTTCTCAAGAGTTGGTGACTGCAAGGCGCATGTGACTTGTAACATGAAGATGCATCTTTGGCTCGCAATTTCCATACCCAGATCAAGATTGGTGGATATCTTGATCAACGCCATTGTTGCAACTGGGTACATATGCTGTTGTTATGAACGAGTGGAAAGGGAGGAAATAGAGGGGCTTATTTCCCTTTTGTTTGATATTTTAAGTTGAAAAATAAGGGAAACCCCCCCTTTATGTTTGGACTTGGGTAGATTCTAAAATTAAATTTGTAATATATTTCTTACTTTGTCAATCTAATTTCATGTCCAGTGTTATGTAAATAATTTAACAATTTTGTAATTGAAAATGAATCGATCCCAATTTGGAAGGAAATAATTCTTGAGCAATTACTTATTCATAAGCTTGTCTGTGTGTTTCTCTGGTTTCCTTTCTTGCCCTCCAAGTTATTTCGTGTGGATCATGATTGCTAGTACGATTTTACTGAATCGAATATTAAAAAATAAAAAACAAAATTTAGAAGTAAAAAGGAATTTGAAATTAAAGCAGGCAATGAGACTGTTACGATTTTACTGAATCAAGTATTAAAAAATAAAAAATAAAATTTAAAAGCGATTAAGGAATTTAAAATTAAAGCAGGCAATAAAACTGTTAGAAATAGCCAACCTCAAACCTCGTACATGGTTTGGAAAAATTACGAAAAAATAGACATTGATCTGGTGACGATCTGAATCTCTTAATAAATTGACAGATTTTTCATTTACAATTGATCCCAATACATAAGAAAAAATAAGGTTAATGGACATGAAGATCCTAAACATTGTTTGCATGGTTAGGATTTTTCTCTGCCATTTCCTTGGTGAAAACAAAAATCAGTAGTTTAATTAGCAATCGTCCATGCTGCCTGACTAGTATTTAGAAAATAAAACTTAGGAATATTATAATTATGTTGATATTAAAAAACACTTGTAACTGCTAATATACCATTAACCTGTTGAATACCATCTTCCACTGCCTCTTTAAGTTCTTTAAGTAGAGATCAATTTAGATATTTTTTTCAAAAATTATACTTTGACACCATATAAAACAAAATACATTTATTTTACAACCTATTCTAACAATATAATAATATAAATTAATGATTTATATTAAAATATAAAAGAAACATAATTCAAATATTAATGTATTGAATTGTCAAATAGTTGTATTTTTATCAAGTGATGTCATTCTATATCCCATTGAAAAGTCTCGTGCAGAAACAAAAACCTCTTGTAACAGTTATTCAGAGGTTGGTTGTAACCGTTTTTTTGTCTTATTTTCTAACATGACATTTAACTTAATTAATTTCTTAGTTAAAACTAAATACAGAAGCGTTAAAATTTAATCTAAAGCTGTTGTAAAAGTTAGTTATAATGGCGCGAAGCAACTATCACACTCAAACGTATCCGATTATATTCCTTCGTTTTTCACTGGTAATAACATCACTCTATGGCTATAAATATATGAAAGCTTCGCTATATTCTGAAGCTTTGTAGTTCTCACCGTCACAATTTCATCGGTTTCTTTGTGCATTTGTAACATGGCAGGGAGAGATAATTCCAAAAACAAAATCCCAGCATTGTCTTCAGATGTAAAAATGAAGAAGAGGGGTAGGCCTCCAGGGTCGAAGTCAAATCGAGGTCGAGGACGTTCTCCTTCTCCTAGCCCTTCCGGATTTCGAGGATGTTCTCCTTCTCCTGGCCCTTCCGGATTTCGAGGATGTTCTCCTTCTCCTAGCCCTTCCGGAGTTCCACCAAATACAGTTTCTAACGTTGGTAACATGAATTTACTTTGTATATATATGCATCTTTTATATATATAATTGTTCAAGATTTGAGTTATCATACTGTGAAAAGGGTCTTGCAAGAATTGTATGCAGATTAATAGATGGAATACAATTTAATAAGTAAGTGATCAGTGTTCTTGTTACAAGTTTTTCAGATTTGGTTTTTTGGGTAAGTTGATTGGTTGCAAATATTCGTGATTAAGAAAAGATAAAACAGGCATTACATCTTAGATTCTTTATGTTATTTGTTCAAGAATTGCGTTTTCTTCTTGTTAAACTCTATCGAGCCCAACATCAATGTTTCAACGATGAGCAGTGAAAAAGGTCTTGCAAGAATTGCTGGCAAATTCATAGGGATGTATTTGAAAGAATACAGAGAAGGTCAATTTGATAAGTAAAACATTTTTATTGAATGATTTAAAGCAGTAACCTACCGAAGAAGTAAAATCTTGTAATCTGTAATAAGTTTTTCTACCCAGTTGATTGGATGTTTTTAAGTGACACATTCTTCTTTGGTTGCTAATGTTCATAATCAAGAAAAAGGCACAAGGTGGTATGAACCGTGAATAATTCAACCTCTGATATAGACAATAGTTTTATGTCGCTGTATATGAAATAAATCATAGTTTTTAATCACCACTACGAGATCACACTGTTGTTTATTTGCTTGGTATTTTGAATCTGACCACGGTCTGTGATTTTTCAAAACTTGATTTGCTTGGTGGTGGACATGCAAACAGAGACTGGAACAGACTTAGTCGCTTACCCGATCACTGTGAATATTGGGGAGGTAAAATCAAACAATTTTTGGGTTTATATTTACAGTTTTTTTCCATATGTTTCATGCCTATTTGTTAAGAAGCACTCCATGTGATTGAACATATACTTGAATAACTTTCAGATATAACATTGAGTTGGTTTTAGACAGTTAGGATCTACCTAGATTAGCTAAATCATATATAGCATGGCTTTAAGATAAGATAACACGACCAACATCATACTATGTTACATTACATGTTTCTGTAGTATTTAAAATCCTTAATTAGAAATTTATTGTGCTTTTTCTTATCAAGCAGGACTTGGTAGACAAGGTATCAAGAATTGCTAAAAGATCCTCTCAAACCGTTTGCATACTTTCTGCTGTGGGTTCCATATCGAGCGTTGTCTTTCGCAAGCCCGGTCTTCCAAGTACTGATACTGTGACGTGGGAGGTATAAACAATTACATGTGTTAGTTTCTTCTTTTCTTGTGTTTCTTCGTTTATTATTTTTTGTGTGCGTGTTATATACATACACAAAATAGAAAGATGAAATGGGCGTTTCATCTTTGTATGATGTACATGCAGGGTTGCTTTGATATTTTGTCACTATCTGGAAACTATTCCTTTGTCCCTGGTCAGGAGAATGGGCATGGAGGACATAACTACTGTAACCTTACAATATCTGATTGTCGTGGAACAGTTTTTGGAGGTTCTGTTGTGGGACCAATGATTGTGGCTTCCCCTGTTTATGTAAGAAGGTTTTTACATATTTATCATTATGGTTAATTCAATTATATATTGATCAGATCTTTGATATATATATATATATATATAGAACACATATATTATGTGGCAGATAAGTGTTTTTCTTTCTAAAACAAAAAAGAAATCTAAAAAATTTTAAGCTATAACCATTGTTGTGCAATTTTAAAATCACTTTATAAAATGTCCTTCACTGGTTCAACTTCGTGCTTGTCTCTTCCTGCATATTTTTTGGTGCACTCGTAGAGAAAATGATCAAACTAACTCTGAACCTCTCTTGGTCTATTAGCTTACGCTTGGCACTTTCAAGCTAGGGAGTGCGGGAAAAACGACAGTACCCGCATTTGCTACTGCTCCAGTAACATCTGGACCTCTTCTCATTCCTAAAACAGAGTATCAAGAATTAGAGAGTCTCACTACTCCTAAAACAGCTGATAAAACTTCAGAGTGTGACATTACTCCTAAAACAGCTGATAAAACTTCAGAGAGTGTCACTACTCCTAAAACAACTGATAAACCAACAGAAAATGTTACTTCTACCTCGAGAGACGGCGAAGATCCAAATGGAGAAGGCGAAAAACAGAGTGTCACTCCTAAAATAACTGATAAACCACAGGAGGAACTCAGTTCTGAAACAGTTGATAAACCACCTGAGAATGTCACTCCTTCAACATCTGATAAACCACCTGAGGATGTCACTCCTGCAATATCCGATAAACCACCTGAGGATGTCACTCCTGCAACATCTGATAAACCACCTCAGGATGTCACTCCTGCAACATCTGATATACCGTCCTGAGAATGTCGTTGCTTCAACATCTGATACATCATTACCTGTTTTGATGTGCTGCTTCGATAAAGCATCAGACGATGTTCCAATGCATCGCAACTATAGCGGTGACATGGATTGCAGATAATGCAAACTATTTCAGGCTAAAGAATCTAGGGGGCCGCTGTATAGGTGAAATACTTTTTTTTTAGTTTTCTTAGGAGGAGATCTTAGCTAGCTGATAAGAAGCTTTTTTTAGGGAGTCACTGCTCTGCCTTTTTAGACAGGGGAGTTATAACCTTTACCATTTTGTTGTCTTTTGCTCCTGCAGACAATGCTGTAGTGGATGAAACGTGTACATTTGTCAATGACAGTCTCACGGCTCCTCTTACAATAATATTCATTTTCAGAAAAAAAAAATTGCAATCATATTGATTACCCTTTTTAAGATTTAAATTAATTATTCATCTTAAAAACAACTTGATTATTGTTTGCAAGTTGGATAAAAATAGTAAATTTATTTTTGTCAAGAAGGCAAATGTCACTCATTTAAGAGAGAGAAAAAATACAGGTTTTATTTTGCAAAACATGAACACTGTAACTTACATTTAATCAAAACGGCCTTTTCACTGCATATTTGCTTAATAATCTTCTCACCATAATGTGATTGACTTTACTTGTGTTCATAACGTAGACCAATGTGATCATTATATAAATTTTTCCATTAGGGAACTATCTGCCTAACAGCTGCAACTGCTGATAAAACTCCCAATCAGAGAAAACAACAGCAACATTCAACCAGAAAATGGGGCTTTGCTTGGATGGCTTAACTATCACACTGAAGAAAACCACTGACAAAATGAAATCAAGTTCAATAAAGCCAAATGCTCCTTAAAGCGATTTTACGTCCCCCAAAAGGGAACCATTGATGCTATAGTAGTCGCATATCTTGGAATTACATTGTGATCATTATATATATATATATATATATATAAGTTTTGTTTTTTTTTTCATTTTAACTCTGGCCACTTTAAAAATCATATGTACCATGATTTCCAGTCGATTGTCAATGGATAAAGAATTATACTCTTGAAGTTAAAAGAAATACGTTTTATAATATGTAAATATACTTATATTGTTGCAAATTTGTATTTGTATATCTATATTTATCATGGATGTTAAATAAATATATACAAAACTATTTATCAAATCTACGTACTATTGTCTCTCAAAAAGAATATTTGTAATTTTGTGAATTTTCACTCATCATTTAAGCAATTAAACTAGTTAGGTTAATGACCGAAAAATCATTATATAATTGTTTTATATCATTCTTGACCTTTTCGTAGTCATTATATTCATATATTTTTTTCGGAAAAAATCTTGGGCTTAAATTTTGTGTATATATAAAATTCTCACAATAAAATTTTTCACCATGTTATGAATGTTCTTAAATAAGACTATCTTTTGTAAACAAAGAAGTGCATGTGATATGGAAAAAGAAATCACTACATTAATAAAATGGCTTTTGTATGATGTATAAAATGAAGTTTATTAATTTCTACACTATAATTTGTTTATATATAATTGCACATAATAGTGTGACCGTGCCACCAAATGATTTAGAACCCAAAGAAAAATGAATAAGAATTATTTTTTACTGCAAAATGAGAAATAGTTATAAATTGGAAAGTTTAGTAGAAACGAAACGGAAGCTGAAGAAACGCGTGTCCCTCTAAATCCTTTGTTATAGTGCTTGAGGTTTCAAATCAACGTGACGTTCCCAGAAACCCCAAAGAAACGCGCAGTTTCGTTTCGTCACCACGTTTTCCTTTCCCTATTTCCCTGCTAAAAGGTAAATTATTCCCCTCTTTTTAACTATGTCATTTTGATTCCAATTTTAATCTTTTCACAGTAATTGTGCATGATACATGGATTATAGTAATTTCTGACATAACCGTAGAATTTCAGTGCCAGTGTTCTTATTAACGTTGTCACTTGTGCTATGTGGTCTGCTCTGTATCCCAACATTTTTCAAAATAATGGGGTTAGGATTTATGTGGATAAATGATTATCGTGCCCAATGTTCACTACTTTGATCTTTTTTCTTCTGATGTTGATATTTCTACTTGAATTCCAAGTACATGTTGATATTTCTGATGGTGCTGCAAGGGATGAAGGGAATAATAATAAAACTACATATCAGAGCTTGCTGTTACTGGGAATGAAGGAATGGATTTGTCCTTGACTTGAGATTGTGATAGTTGAGAAGAATAACAAAGTTCATATTCATTGCCATCAAGGTTACAGCTATAATGCTGCTTCAAGCAGCTATGTTTAGGTCTTTCTGATCAATTTTGCTGCTTCCTGTTGAAACTTGATGAATGAAATTAATGTTAAAGAGTGTTTAGAACTGGAAATGGTTTGATGGAAGAAGGGAACAAGGTGTTTATGTTTCTTTGGATAAGAAGGCACTTTGGTTTATGTTGGACTTGATAGGAAGGATCCATGATCCATCCTATGTCGAAGCTTAACGATTGAGTGTTTCTGGGAAAAATAAAATTTTAATAAAAATATAAAAATATATGGAAATTTGTGAACAAGGATGTTGACAAGCTCCAAGAGTTGGCCACTTTTGTTCTTATAATGATGTGGTGCCTGAATGTTATCTTCAAGGAAGTTGGCTTGGTACAGGAAAATTACAAATGTCTTGTGAGTGGATGAATGGGTTCATGTTACTTTTTTTTATATATAATTTTATCTTTGCACTACGCAATTTATGTGTGTATGTTGAAATTAGGACTGAGGCTTCAGAATTGATGCTACGTTTTCCCCCATGTCAATGGAAATAAGGTTACATATTCAAATTACATTGGCTAGTGATATAATTAAGAAGTTAGTCTGATTTTAACAGAGCATTCATGTGCAAATAATGGTTTAACTTCTAGGGCAAAAGCGTCAAGTAAATTGTTCTGTTGGTTTCAAGGAATACTTAGAATTTAAATCTGATGTTTTAATTGCTTGGGAATTTCATCTTGTTGAATGTTTACCCATTCATGTCATGCAGTTCCTTGGGTTGGAAGGATGTCATCAGAATCAGATAAATGGGGGTGGAAGCATGTTAGTGTGTTTGGTGGTTTTGATAAGGGAAGCGGTACAAAAAGATGGAAATGCAATCACTGCAATGTAAGATACAACGGATCTTATTCTCGTGTTAGAGCCCATCTTCTTGGTTTTTCTGGTGTTGGAGTCAAAAGCTGTCCAGCTATAGATAGGTCTTTAAAAGAATCATTTCAAATCTTAGAAGAAGAGAGGGTTGCTCGGAAAAAGAAACCAGATTCTGGCACTGGAAAGAATGGCAAGCGTGTTTGGACTTCTCGATCTAGTCTCACTCGTATCTCCAAAGAAGATGTAGACGAAATGTTAGCAAGATTCTTCTTTGCTGATGGATTGTGTGCTAACATCTTTAACTCACCTTACTTTCAGGAGATGATAAAAGCAGTTGCAGCTTTTGGCTCAGGTTATGAACCCCTGTCAATGCATGATTTGTGTGGCTCCTTTTTGAGCAAAGAGAAAGAAAGGATTGATAAATATATGACTCTTATGAAGGAATCATGGCCACATACTGGATGCACATTACTTTGTATTGGACGCTTACATGGTATGCTGGGTACTTTTCAGGTTAATATATTTGTGTCAAGTCCTAGAGGACTATCATTCTTGAAAGCTGTAATTGTGGACAATATTGATGGACCAAGCAATTCTCTTCCTGGTATCCTTGGAAACACAGTCATGGAAGTTGGGCCTACTAACGTGGTTCAGATAGTTACACGTCTAAGTCATGCCGCCGCATGTTCAGAATCCTATACATTGCCAGAGTTTCCTCATATATTCTTGTCTCCTTGCTCTTCACATTCTGTTCACATTTTAATGGAAGATATAGCCAAATTGGATTGGATAAGACCGGTTGTTTTGTGTGCTAAAGAAATTGAGAAATGTATAACCACATTTCAGAATTTCTTTCCCCGTGTCTTCACTCAAAATGTGAAAGGGAGTTCTGAGTCACTGTTTGCCAGAATTGCTCCTTCCTGTTGCATAGTCCAAAAGATACATGAACTGAAGCTAGCATTTCAGGAAGTTGTTGTGAGGGAAGAGTGGAAGCGGTGGAAGCTTAGTATTGCTCAGGATGTTGGAAGTGTAGAGGCAGCAATATTAGGGGAAGATTTCTGGAGCAGGGCTCTTGTGTTTTTGAAAATATGTGAACCTTTTATCAAATTGCTTGCTGCGCTTAATATTGATACAGACAGATGTGTCATGGGGGATGTCCATGATTGGCGTGTTCAAGCTATTGACGTGGTGAAGAGTACAGGAATAGATGCTTGCCTATTGAATCAACTAGAAAGGTTGATAGAAAACAGGTGGGATGTGCTGTTTTCTCCTCTTCATTCTGCAGGTTATATACTGAACCCCAAATACTTTGGCAGAGGCCAGTCTAAGGATAAAATCATAATGAAGGGTTGGAAAACCACTTTAGAGAGATATGAGTGTGAAAGTGCAGTAAGAAGAGTTCTAAGAGAGCAGCTCAGTTCTTACTGGCGGCTTGAAGGATCCTTGGGAGAGGAAGATGCTGTGGATTGTAGAGATAAAATGGACCCAGTTGCATGGTGGGAGAATTTTGGTTTTGAGATACCCCACTTGCAAACCTTAGCCATAAAAGTTCTGAGTCAAGTTTCAAGTGTTGCAATGTGTGAAGAGATATGGCAACATAATGGTAATCCATGCGAAGACACAACTTCCGGATTGGGGTTAGGAAAATGGGAAGACCTTGTTTATGTCCAAAACAATCTTAGAATTCAAGGTCATTATAAAAGGGATTTTGAGGCTCATCAGCAGCTTAGAGACATGGTGCTGAGCTCTCCTGCAGAATTGAAGACAAAAACTGTTCTTTGTAGTTCTGACAGATAATGGCAATTTATATTGGAATCAGACTTCATTAGTGTGTATAGACTTAGGATTTTTTTGTATTCACACAAATTCGTTGTAAATTTTTTTGTTTTAATTC